CCTTAACATCTCGATTTGGAATATACCTACAGTTCAAAATTTTTTGGAATTGAAACAATTTTTGACACTGGCAAAAAATGTCATCATGAGAAATAGTCTCAGTCCAGTGAAAGTTGTACTAGAGTGAAATAAATAGACGCAAAAAAATTGGTGATTTAGCTACGATAGTACACCATCTGAATCATGAATACTAAGAATAAATGACCAGGAATTACAAAAGAAAAATGAAAAATAAAAATATAATTATGATTCAATCAGTACTAATTTAGCAGAAGAAGGAACCAATATGGAAAGATAACAAAACAAATAAAAATAAAAAAGAAAAAGAGAGCTCCTAATTAATGCTTCATCACATTTTCAGGTCCTAATCCAAACATATGTAAATAAATTCAACAGTTATTCTAATTCAGTTATCATCTAGTCAAAATTATCTCAAGATTCATCAAAAGCGAAAAAGGATCTTAACAAAATTGACACTGGTAACCTCATGAATAATATTGCATCGGCGAAACAAACTAAACAAGAAGGACTGGAAATACATTGCAAAGAAATGGATCATCATAAAAATCTCAACGAAGGAATCGAAAACAAATTAAAAGACAGTAGATATTATTTGAAAAAAAAACATCAATCCAAGAATTGAAATTGTAGGAATCTTTTGAACAACCAATCCAAAAAGAAATTAGCGAAAATGATTTCATGAAAATAAATCATGGGAAACACATTTCTTACAAAAACGATGAAATAACTCTTCAAGAAACTGTAGAAATTCTACAATTTGCCCTCGATGTGAAAATTGTCATGAAGAAGAAAACTGTACTAATTCTAAAATAAAATGTGCCGAACCAGAAATAATTAGTATGTTGGATTTGAGAAAAGCTCCAGGATTTGATGAAATTACCAATAATATTGTTTTCAATTGAATCAGAATCAGCACCTCTGATAAGTAAACCGGTAAAGTTTTCTTTTACAACAGGTTTGATAAAACCATTATTTCAAGCAGGTAAGACCAAATGACAAATTATAGACCAATTTTTGTTTTACCAGAGTTATTTAAAATTATTGAGAAATCAGAATATTATT